CCCTAATCGATTTTGGGGTGAAAGATTAGGGTTAGAGTCAAAGAAAATAAAAAGTGGGGGTGTTATTTTAAACAAATTTGTGGCCTTTAAGAAAATGTCAGAAATTAGTGGTGTTTACTTAAATGCTGGTAATTAGAGATTTTAATCAAGACCAATTATGGGTAAAACCATTAAACTGCGTTTGTCACTAACGTCGGTGATTAAACGCTGACAATTACTATTTTTCTTGTAGTGTAATTCTCGAACTCGAGTCAATGGTATATTGGACAAAAACACCACTTGTCAATTGCCATCTATGTAGGCTCAACCTCCAATCTATATATGAAATAGTAATACCAGAAAGACATACACAAAGAAATTCACTTGCTATGTGGTACATTTTACAAAACAATCTTTTTTTTTTTTTGGGGGGGGGGGTGAATTTTATTGAACAGCTTATCATTTTATTCAAAAATGATAAAAATTTACAGAAGCAGCCACCTTATTCTTAAAGGGGGAATGCATTGATCAACGAACACAATATTTGTTTTCAAATTGCTTTCAAAAGTAGCCCCTCAACCTAAGTCAAGAGACATAAACAATTAGTTTCATCATTTTCTCTCATTTTCACTTTTTCCAAAAACTAAGTGTAGATTCATATTTTACACCAAGCATTTTCAATTTCTAAAATAATTCAATACCACCACGGTCCTAATTTCCATGCTAGATTTGTCAATGGTGTTGAGTAAGACAGATTCGTGTTGGATTTTAGCGGGTTTTTGTCAAAAATACTTCACTCATATTTGATTCATTTATTAATCATATCGGGTTCATATCGTATATAACTGATATATACATGAATCATGTCATATATTTCTTTTGATTGATTTTACCCATACCAATTTTGTTTATTAGTCGTGTGGTGTCGTGTTTACTCGTTTACGAAGCATATAAGTTAAAGAAGAGACCAACTCCCTAATTTCATGTTGTATTAATTGATCGTACCTTATTTTGACACCCTTATTCATGCTATGTCGACGATCTGAATCCTTTCCCAACCGAGGGAAAAAAAAATCTAAAATATGGCATCTGGTGACACTTTATGTATCACGACCCTCTCGTGAAGGCTTTTATAGCATAGTACAGACCATCAACCATTAGCATCACAAAATGGCATCAATTCACTTCTCTTTATTATTGTACTATAGTGCACAATCCTGGTGAATCTATAATTTTCTCTCTCTTTTCATACATATGGAAAGACTTTTCAAAGTGAGAATAACCGAACATTACAGAAGAAGATGATGATGCTTCTTCCTTCCCAATCTAAACCTTCTTATTTAATCAATGGTCACATCACAAACTTATTTTATCATGTAGTTTCTTTATATTTAGTGGGTTTGGAAATCCCCAATACCATGTGATATTGTTATTTAGTGTTTTAATTAATGCTTATCTCCAACATAATCATCGTTCGTCATCGTGTGATATTTTCTTAATCCAATCAACTTGATTTGATCAAGAAAGGCTCCAGCATGTGACCATCAAAAGTCCTAGGAGAGTGGTAATCAGTTTGTGCATATGATTTGCTTTTTTTTTTTTTNAGCGGGTTTTTGTCAAAAATACTTCACTCATATTTGATTCATTTATTAATCATATCGGGTTCATATCGTATATAACTGATATATACATTAATCATGTCGTATATTTTTTTTGATTGATTTTACCCATACCAATTTTGTTTATTAGTCGTGTTGTGTCGTGTTTACTCGTTTACGAAGCATATAAGTTAAAGAAGAGACCAACTCCCTAATTTCATGTTGTATTAATTGGTCGTACCTTATTTTGACACCCTTATTCATGCTATGTCGACGATCTGAATCCTTTCCCAACCGAGGGAAAAAAAAATCTAAAATATGGCATCTGGTGACACTTTATGTATCACGACCCTCTCGTGAAGGCTTTTATAGCATAGTACAGACCATCAACCATTAGCATCACAAAATGGCATCAATTCACTTCTCTTTATTATTGTACTATAGTGCACAATCCTGGTGAATCTATAATTTTCTCTCTCTTTTCATACATATGGAAAGACTTTTCAAAGTGAGAATAACCGAACATTACAGAAGAAGATGATGATGCTTCTTCCTTCCCAATCTAAACCTTCTTATTTAATCAATGGTCACATCACAAACTTATTTTATCATGTAGTTTCTTTATATTTAGTGGGTTTGGAAATCCCCAATACCATGTGATATTGTTATTTAGTGTTTTAATTAATGCTTATCTCCAACATAATCATCGTTCGTCATCGTGTGATATTTTCTTAATCCAATCAACTTGATTTGATCAAGAAAGGCTCCAGCATGTGACCATCAAAAGTCCTAGGAGAGTGGTAATCAGTTTGTGCATATGATTTGCTTTTTTTTTTTTATTTTTTAATTTGATCATTGTGTTGATTAAGAATCAATTTGTTGGCAATGTTATCGTTGTGGTCGGTTTTTATAATTCAGTAAAACAAAACCCATTTTTTCCATTTATTTTTTCAAAGCAAATAACATCTGAGCTTTGAGTTTTGGATTACTGGTGTGGGTCAAAAAAATCCTAAATTATTAGGAATTATTTAATTATTTATTGAGTGATCTAAGGCTTGCAATGTCAACATCTCTCACCCCAAATGCTCTTTCAAACATGGTAGTTTTTTTCTTTCTATTTTTGCCTTTCATCCTTTTGGGGGGTCAATAATACAGTCTAATGAATAGGAATTGGCTAGAATGAGTCATAATTGAGATCAAGTTGTTGGAGGCCATGTTCTTATTAATGGACAGCTTAGTGTATTAGGTTCTCGATAGAGATCTTGAAATGATCAGATGTATGTAATTTTACCTCCGCATGCGAACATATTATTTTTACGACTCGAACTCATGATCACTCACCTCATTTGGGTATTTTTTTTTTGTTTTTTCCCACTGATTTTTTTTTCTGGGTCAACAAATTAAGTATAATGAGTGGATATTGGCTAGAACGATCANGTGATCACTCACCTCATTTGGGTATTTTTTTTTGTTTTTTCCCACTGATTTTTTTTCTGGGTCAACAAATTAAGTATAATGAGTGGATATTGGCTAGAACGATCATAATTGAGATCAAGAAGTTGGAGGTAATGGCCATAATAATGGGTTGATAACAATACAAAAGGTCCATGAAAAAGGTGATGTTGAGATGTGCAGAGCCACAGAAATTGAAAGTATTGACAGCCATGTTTCAAGGGGAAAAAAAATGCCTAGAAAGAGAGAGATCCACCAAGAAAGGTGGAGTGAGTTGAGAGGCGTATAGGAGAATAAAGCAAGAAAAAAAAGCACTATCCCATTAAGCAACCATCAATGCAAGAGGATTTAAAGGAACTTTAGAGAAAAAATATAGAAAGATAGAATTTCTTTGTCAATGGTCTGTGCCTATGGATCTTATTGGGATTCTTTTCATCAATGCACCACCCATTCATCTGAAATAATATCTAACTTTGATTCAAAGATAAACAATGAATATGGACTTAGTTTGGTTCTCCAAGGAAAATTCTTGAGATTGAGGTTAAAATCTGCCTACTTTGTCTGTTGCACATGGTGGAACATATTGGGGTAGGTCTTTCATGTCAGTAATCTTTCAATTAGATGGTCCTTTCTTTTCTTTTTTTGCAGCAATGCCATCCCTTTCGAAGGTTGGATTGGAATCTTAAAACGCGGTTGAAAACAAAAGAGAATCATTTCATCTCCATGGACATTCAAACCAATCCTGACCCTCCTCAGATCTTGAAGTAGTAGTAGTAGTCTCGTGTTTGAAAAAAATTATATTATATCTACAAGCATTCAGGGTGATTAGACATGGTCTCACTTGGAAAACAAAATAGCCCATTTACCAAGTTCTAAGAAGGTGAACTGTAAAGAGATCAAGATTAGGTCATAGTTCACATATACAATATTCATGGCCTGCCTGGAAGTCTCTTTCTAGCCATTTACAAACTTTGTTGGCCCAAAGAGGCTGCACTAGAAAATTGCTACGATGCTGAACCCTAGAAGTTGCCTCTGAAAGTCAAACTTCGGAAAAGCCAATACCCAAAAGCCCTTTCTAGGCCTCCAAAACACTTCCAACCTCTGTTTCCCAGCAAAGGTAGTTCAATAGTAGCAGTCACGTATCTTCTAATTAGCAAATGGAAAAAATATAGTGGATTTCATCATCTCAAACCTGTTGTACATAACTCTCTGGATCCCATTAAATCCAGCCTGTTGTATGCAGGTATGCAATTTCTGAAAGAGAGTTGAACTACATAATCAATGGAAAAACTGATGAAATTGCTAGAGATAGACTTTAGGATTGAGCATAGCCTGTACAAAATCAGTGAGTTTCACCTATTAAAACTCAGGGAGGGAGGACAGGTAGCAAATTAGCTTCAGAACAAATACATTTCTTCAAAATAACATGTCAATTACATGCACCTGCTATGTCAACACTCTTCTTATATGACTAATATCCAGGTAACTATTTAAGTTAGAAACACAACCATTTAATCATGTGTACAAACTAACTGAAATACAAACTTCCTGCTGCGGAAATCCAGCTCAAATTATAGATCTTCTATCTCCTCAATGAATGACAAACGAGCATCAATTTGTTGGAGAACATCATGATTAATATTGCTAGTGCTAAACCATTTTGATGGGAAATAAACAGGTGGTTTAGATGACAAATCAATTCTAGTACTCTGTTGCTTTGGTGTCTCAATTACTTCATATTCCATTTTCCATTTTTATTTGTTTTGATGTATTGATTGAATAGCTGATGTTTCAATTCCAAGCAAGCTTTAAAGTCATCCTCCCGGGCCATGTGCAACTTATCAATAAGATCACTCAAGACTGAATCCATCTTGGCCCGCCAAGACTTAAACTTCTTTGGCCTTTTGGCAAGTTCATAATTTTCACTGAGGTCAATGCTACCGTCATGTGAGTCAAATTTCCGAAGCTTCCCTATCTCTGATCAACAATGTTTTGCATCTGCTTTCTAAAATTTGCGGTTCTAATTGGGCTTGATCTAAGTTTTGACTTTAAGCCGGCAATACTCCTGTCATTGGTGTCTTCCACAACAGAGTTAGAATTTTCGGTGGAGTGGCCCTCCTCAGTATGCACGCTTGGGGTAGAATTTGTGAAAAACACCTCCTCCAGTAAACTAAAATTATGCATGTAACAGTCAAATGCGTCATTTTCTACTTCAATGTTGCTCTCCTTATATTCTTTCAACCTCAAAAATCTCCATTCATTTATGACTGCAGAATCCTGAAATTGCTTACCAGATAATCATGAGCCATTCTTTAACCACAGGGACAAAGTAGATAGGAAAAAATCAGATATGCATATGCACCTTTCTGGTCAGTGGCTTCCTTGAACGAAGTGGGGTTTGAAACTATTTAACTGGGCGAAATCGTTGGAAAGTTGCCAAAGTGAGGCAACTCTACGTAAATTCCTAAAACAAAGCTTAACAAAGATCAAAAGCAGCTCTGTTTGAGAATAGAACAAAGATAGGTACATATTTTGCTCAGTTGCAGCAAATTCAAGTCCGCATTCTAGGCAAGGGCGTCCAAACAAGTCCATGGAAGAGTGCATAACCACATAATATACACAACAAAATCAGAAAAAGAAGCAATAAAAGCATAAAACACCGAGAAGTGACAAACACACAAAAACGAAGTCATGCAATGAAAACAAGGTGAAGGGTAGAAGTTAGCATTCACAAGAACAGAAACCAAAGTGAATGTAAATGTATCAGCCTTTTTATAATACTAGCAAATTCAATAATAAGTTGAAATTAGAGGATGAACAGATAAAAATTGCTGGTAGTCACTCACCAATGTGCATTCAACAGGTTCAAGAACAGCACCAGTTTCTAAAATATTTTGCAGGCTCTTACCTACACATCAAAAATCGTAGGAAAGCAACTGCACCTTTTAGGATGGTAGCTTGTAGGTTATTTAACAGTCTGTTCAAAGAATTATCAGCAAAGTTGTGCCCACGTACACATCTGGGATAGTTGATGCTTACAGCTTACCCAGAAGGAGATACTTCAGGTGACTGCTGATGAAAGAAAGGGAAGTTAGAAGATGGTGCCTTGTCTGGAAAATTTGAATTACACTTTAAAACTGCAAACACAGACAATCAGATAGAGAGGAAAAAAGGGCAGACAAAGTAAAATGAATAGCTGAAATTCCCCAACCAGCCTTATGCTTGGTGGTAGGCTATAAAATGCAATAATTCTAATGCCTAACCACTTCAAGAAAAATTTACCTTTAGGAGAAATTATTGAGAAGACCCATAGTATTTAACAAACTTTTTGTGTAAAAAATCAGTGTAATTCCTGGACATCCTGATAGGAACAAAAGGTTGCATGGCCAGTGCTACAACTTTAGAATTGATCACCCAAGTACAGGTTGTGCGAAGTAATAAATTTCTCGGGAGTCCGAGGTCGAACCACAGGGAATTGAAAAAACAAGAGACACAAAACAAATAAAAAGCAAACTTGTAAGAACAATTTATTTAAGAGATTGTTGAGTTGAAAAAATATTGATTGGAGTAATTAAAACAATATAATAAAAATACTAGAGCATCAGATACTCCCTCTCAATTACATACAATAATAATTAAGGACTCAAAACTTAACTTGGAACAAGAATCAGATGTCGGTTGATTCGAATAACAAATCAAGTAAGAAAACCAAAAGTTATAATCAAAAGATTATTTAGGAACCTGAATAATCATCCAATTATATTATTTTATGAAATAATGATAATTACCTCAAGCATGGAATAACCAGTTACTTACTCGCAGAGAAATTCAAGCGATCGATGTACATGACACAACAACTCAAGAATTTTTACAGAGCAAAAACTTTGCTATAAGATCAGAAGTTAAATTAACAAAATATCATAAATCATTAAACTCAGAATCAATAACATTATCGAACTTCATTGAGAGGTTCTCCCCTAGCCCTAGCTTAACCTTCTAGCCAAGCATGACAAACTAAAACTAGAAAAGAAAAGAAGGAAAAAGAATCATCCAATAAATCCTAGATGAGAACCCTTATTTATACTAAAAATAAATCCTAAGTATAGGTAGAAGATATAAGGTTGGCCTGGAAGGAATTCCTTTCCAAAGAGAAATCTTGTAAGGTTAAATTCGGTGCATAAAATTTTTGGGGCACGGGTACAAAATCTGTCCAGACTTCGATCTTGAATTTTTCATATTTAAAAGCTAAATCACGAAATATTCGTGAAATACACTTTTGTAGCCCTTAGAGTATTCTTTTCAATCCCTAAAAATCAAGTAAATCGGATATCAGAGTCAAAAGTTATGACTAGAATACTGAAGACNTATGACAAGGATTTTGAGCTTTTGCACAGCAACTCTTGCATGACTGGTATGGACACCTGCATAGTTGATTTGGTCCATCAAGATACTATAAAGGTATAAAGGTATAAAGGTATCAACCCCATGTGTGGTAACATTACTCAAACAAAAATATATGAGTAACCAATCGGTGATGTAATTGTGCCAAAAGCAAGAGCAACCACATTTCGTAAATCTTACTATATTTTCAATAATCCAAACAAACAATTGAATGTGTGATTCCCATTGTTGAAAGATTGTCTACAGATTGCAGAACATCGAATTCCTAATTTTGGTATTATTTGCTTATGATTATCTATCACCTTCCCTAATAGTAGATAAGTGATTTGAGTGTCTCTAACTGTGTTACACACAAACGCATTGACACATGATCATCTCCTGCCCACTATCACTTGGCCCTCATTTGATTTGTGATGCTCGTTAGTTAATGTTCCTTCTTAAGGTTTCAAAAACATCAAGGGGCTTACCCTCAATCAAATTTTATGTCATTTAAGTTTAAATGGCATTAAAGCCAAAGTGTACATACAGCATCACCTCCCAGACCATTCATCACTGATGGCAAGATTCTTTTTCCCTTCTACACAATCATTTCTCAGCACAATGTAAAAAAAAAGGTTCAAAAGTATAGGAGTTTTACACTAACATCAACTTCTAGAAACCTAAGTAAGACCCTAAACATTTATCAAAAGTTTATCAAATTCTCACAAACGATAGAGGCTTAAAAGTCCAACAACTTTAAACAATCAATCAGATAATAAAATCTGATAACTGAATGCCTTAGAGGTGTATTTTCACTCAAGCACTTCATTGTTTACCATGTGTCTGATCATCTCCATTCCCTAAAACCCAACAGGTATTCTTTTGTGACATCATGGATTTGCACTGTCATAACAGTTTGGGGTAAGGCGAGAAATATGAAATCATTTTTAGTCATTACATAGTCCATCTTCTACTGACTCAACTCTCACTTTGTTGGGTTAGTAGTATAAGGAAGTTATCACCCCTTATCGGCTTTAGGAAATGTGTCGGTCTTTTGGCTTGGTCGATCAAAGAGTAAGCTTTCCCTATCAGCTGTCACTATCAATATCTTAAGAGAAGAATGCGTAGAAAGGAAAGGTTTTGATTCTGCTAAGTGAAGTGAACAAAGAAAAAAAAAAGCTTTCTCCGAGAAAGCGTCTATTCACGTCAAGGGAGAATGCCGCTTTCGAATTCATAGTCAAGAAGGACTGACTAAGATGCTTGCTATGTATATATCTATTTATTTGAATTCCGGTTATTAGAGTTAGATGCTGTAAAGCTCCCTCCCAATCCCTCGAAATGTTCTTCAGAACTTTCTCCTTATTTACTGCTTTGACTTTTGGGGTCTCTACCAGACCACAAAAGGAAAGCCTTTGCTCTAGCCTAACTTCTCTTTCTTTCATATGCTCCTTCGGACCCATGTTGCCCATGGGCTGTTATTTAGTTCACTTTAAGATGAAACGTGAAAACCCTCACAAGAGTTCCCCATTTTTCAGTAAGTTATGGGTTACCATTGATTTTCGGTGGGAGTCCTGGGTTCCAATTTATCGTTATGACCCAGACTCACACCAACAGGACGCTTTGCAAGTCCAACCATAACCTGTGCCCTGTTCTCTAATGCGTAAATTACTTCACTTTAAGATGAACGCTTTAACCCACGTAGGGGTTCCCTTTTTCCCAGTAAATTATTGATGCCCATCAATAGGAAACTTAGTGAGACCAAAAATAACCTCTGCCCTGCTCCCTTAGTGATATGCCTACTTAGCCACCATGTGTGTGGGAATATCAATAGGAGCTATTGAAACAAATCTTAAATATCACCTCCTCTATATGTACCAAAATACTCCTATTCAATTATAAATAACAAAAAGGCAATCCCTCAGTTGCTTAAATGATTGTTAAAGCAACTGTACTAAACGCTAGTGTTTGGATATTCGAGTGTTGAAGTTGAAGAATTGAAGACACAGAAGCGCAATTTAAGGGGATGATGACAGATTGAAATTACCTGGAACGAGCGACATTGCCGCACTTGATTTGGTAGAGGTAGGAGTGCTCGTGGCAGCGTTGGAGGCGTTGATGGCTGTGGTATTGGTGGGGTTGGGCGTGTAGGTGCTGTTGTTTCTTAGGCCTAGTGATATGGACGCCATTGTCGACTGGTTACAGGCTTCAATCTGTGGAGAACCAGACCAAGCAAAAGAAAGACGACACAACACAACGAAGAAGGGAAGAGATAGTAGTGGATGCGGGATTAAATTTAGGGGTCATTTGGTAAATTGAATTATTTTAGATTGAATTGGGTTAGGTGGATCAATCAAAACCCATCCAATTGGGTTTGGAGAATTGTTGAATTGTTTTTTTGAAAAATTTAAAAATTCATAATTTTTTTATATTGTATCACTGATATATTAAAAATATTATAATGTGATTCTTTTATTAACTTATATTATTTATTCTATCAAAAGATAAAATCCACCCAAAAAAGATCAAAATAAGAGTAGATATTAGTCATCTCATAGTTAATGCATACATTAACGTCCACATCAATACCTTCTCAACTATAATGACAAGCAAAAAAAACTCTCTATGGTTATTATTATAGGAGTCCAATTCTTATACAAATTTTCATTATGTAATGATACTAAGATATGATATTCAATCTCAACCAAATTCACTCAAAAATTCATAAATATAATTTATATAACAGGAAACAGATAACGCGAGTTTAAAAGATAATGTCCTAACTTTTTATTTTTTCCCCACAAAGTACGAAGAATCCCACATGTATGATATTTCACTCTCTTTTTGATCAAAAAAAAAAAAAACCAAAGATTTGTTACAAAATGTTTCCCTTTCCCTCTTGGGTGACTAGAGACTAACATCAGTATTTAAAGACTACAATGACATTTGCAACCCAAATACATGGGCAATGTTGACACCAATTAACTTTGGCAAAATCATAGGAGTTGGTCACCAGTTGTTCCAAAATCATTCACATAGTTAGCATATGCATCCCTTTTTAGACCAAAGCATCTGTCGTGTCCTTGTCAACGTGCCAAGTCATGCCATTCATATCTTGATTTTTTAGGCATGTATGTAATGCAGCACAATCAACCCACACGATTGTGTTTTGTTGTGTCTAACGTACCTATGATATGTTCCTTCCTTCAACTATGTATGAGACTTCCAACAATGATTAGTTTCAATTAATGTAGCAGTTTTATATTTTTCAAAATCTCTGATTTTTGCGTATCATGTCTCACCCATAACAACAATTATTAGAGTCAAACCTTGTTTTGCCTAGCCAACACTAGGTGACATAACGGTTGCGAGCAAGGCATACCTCGAGGAACACCTCCTTTATAATAACATTATGAAGGCATATCAAAGTGGTATTACTAGACATTACCGTGCTCGGGGAGTTATATTGTCTTATTTACGAAATTGTCATTGTCCACACACGCCAATTAGCATTTCCTACTCTCTATCACCAAGTCCAACATGCAACCAAGTCATTTGGGACCCATCTTACAAATTGGAAGTGCTTAGCCAAGCACACCCCCATTTTGGCTTCGACAAGGAGCGTCATTGGACAAGTCATCTGCATGCCTTAGTCACGCCAACAAATTAAGCGACCTATCAATTATCCAATTTAAAAATTGATACGATTCTATCTAATCAATATTTGATCATATTATAAATGCATAAGATCAATCAAATGCAAACGAAAATCATAAAACACGATTATGTCAACTACAATATTGCTTTCACTTTAGTATAAAATAACTTAGTTGGACATTTTGTAAGATCGCACCAAGAGCTTATTAATGGCATGGTATGACAAATCACATGTTTTCTTAGCATACTTATTCTTCACAATTTAAATAAACCTCACAAGGACCTTTGGCTTGGCATGTATGGGACTTTGTGGTCCTATATATGCGACGGATTGTCTCATGTGTTAATCTTAACTTGCCTCACCTATAGAACATCAACCTTATTAAATATTTTTTTTAGGTATTAGATAAGAATTACGAATGCTAACAACCCTCAAAATTTTGTTTAGAGAACCAACCTAAAAGAAAAAAAAAATAGAATAATTTTTCAATCGTTAGAGAATTTGCTTTCATTTTTTAATTTGGTAGTGAATATAGGCATAACAATTAATTTGAGAAATTAAAAAATAAGTATTGATTTAAAAAATCCCATTTATTCATGAGAACAAACAAATTCTCAAAGCTAAATGTATAGTATATATTGCCTTTAAGTTGGTAAATTAATTTAGAGACTTGATTAAAGAAGTAATTTATTTTAATTATTAAATTAGTTGTGAGTTCTAAGTTTCCGTAGAGCCCATCTTCTTCTTTTTATTTTGTTCAACACTTATAAATGTCCCGATCAATTTAAAAATATTTAATTCTTTTTTTAATTTAATTAAAAATAAATCATCTATANAATTGTTGAATTGTTTTTTTGAAAAATTTAAAAATTCATAATTTTTTTATATTGTATCACTGATATATTAAAAATATTATAATGTGATTCTTTTATTAACTTATATTATTTATTCTATCAAAAGATAAAATCCACCCAAAAAANGAAAATTTAAAAATTCATAATTTTTTTATATTGTATCACCGATATATTAAAAATATTATAATGTAATTCTTTTATTAACTTATATTATTTATTCTATCAAAAGATAAAATCCACCCAAAAAANAATAAATCATCTATACTGAAATTAATGACATCCGTTTTTCTTCGATCCAACGACCACCATCCTATCTTGGTGTATAAATTTAATGGAAATAGTATTTTCTGTAAATAAAATGGGTTGGTAATACCTGCTAAAATAAATAGAAAAAANAAGATCAAAATAAGAGTAGATATTAGTCATCTCATAGTTAATGCATACATTAACGTCGACATCAATATCTTCTCAACTATAATGACAAGCAAAAAAAACTCTCTATGGTTATTATTATAGGAGTCCAATTCTTATACAAATTTTCATTATGTAATGATACTAAGATATGATATTCAATCTCAACCAAATTCACTCAAAAATTCATAAATATAATTTATATAACAGGAAACAGATAACGCGAGTTTAAAAGATAATGTCCTAACTTTTTATTTTTTTCACACAAAGTACGAAGAATCCCACATGTATGATATTTCACTCTCTTTTTGATCAAAAAAAAAAAAAACCAAAGATTTGTTACAAAATGTTTCCCTTTCCCTCTTGGGTGACTAGAGACTAACATCAGTATTTAAAGACTACAATGACATTTGCAACCCAAATACATGGGCAATGTTGACACCAATTAACTTTGGCAAAATCATAGGAGTTGGTCACCAGTTGTTCCAAAATCATTCACATAGTTAGCATATGCATCCCTTTTTAGACCAAAGCATCTGTCGTGTCCTTGTCAACGTGCCAAGTCATGCCATTCATATCTTGATTTTTTAGGCATGTATGTAATGCAGCACAATCAACCCACACGATTGTGTTTTGTTGTGTCTAACGTACCTATGATATGTTCCTTCCTTCAACTATGTATGAGACTTCCAACAATGATTAGTTTCAATTAATGTAGCAGTTTTATATTTTTCAAAATCTCTGATTTTTGCGTATCATGTCTCACCCATAACAACAATTATTAGAGTCAAACCTTGTTTTGCCTAGCCAACACTAGGTGACATAACGGTTGCGAGCAAGGCATACCTCGAGGAACACCTCCTTTATAATAACATTATGAAGGCATATCAAAGTGGTATTACTAGACATTACCGTGCTCGGGGAGTTATATTGTCTTATTTACGAAATTGTCATTGTCCACACACGCCAATTAGCATTTCCTACTCTCTATCACCAAGTCCAACATGCAACCAAGTCATTTGGGACCCATCTTACAAATTGGAAGTGCTTAGCCAAGCACACCCCCATTTTGGCTTCGACAAGGAGCGTCATTGGACAAGTCATCTGCATGCCTTAGTCACGCCAACAAATTAAGCGACCTATCAATTATCCAATTTAAAAATTGATACGATTCTATCTAATCAATATTTGATCATATTATAAATGCATAAGATCAATCAAATGCAAACGAAAATCATAAAACACGATTATGTCAACTACAATATTGCTTTCACTTTAGTATAAAATAACTTAGTTGGACATTTTGTAAGATCGCACCAAGAGCTTATTAATGGCATGGTATGACAAATCACATGTTTTCTTAGCATACTTATTCTTCACAATTTAAATAAACCTCACAAGGACCTTTGGCTTGGCATGTATGGGACTTTGTGGTCCTATATATGCGACGGATTGTCTCATGTGTTAATCTTAACTTGCCTCACCTATAGAACATCAACCTTATTAAATATTTTTTTTAGGTATTAGATAAGAATTACGAATGCTAACAACCCTCAAAATTTTGTTTAGAGAACCAACCTAAAAGAAAAAAAAATAGAATAATTTTTCAATCGTTAGAGAATTTGCTTTCATTTTTTAATTTGGTAGTGAATATAGACATAACAATTAATTTGAGAAATTAAAAAATAAGTATTGATTTAAAAAATCCCATTTATTCATGAGAACAAACAAATAATAAACAAATTCTCAAAGCTAAATTTATAGTATATATTGCCTTTAAGTTGGTAAATTAATTTAGAGACTTGATTAAAGAAGTAATTTATTTTAATTATTAAATTAGTTGTGAGTTCTAAGTTTCCGTAGAGCCCATCTTCTTCTTTTTATTTTGTTCAACACTTATAAATGTCCCGATCAATTTAAAAATATTTAATTCTTTTTTTAATTTAATTAAAAATAAATCATCTATCCTGAAATTAACGACATCCGTTTTTCTTCGATCCAACGACCACCATCCTATCTTGGTGTATAAATTTAATGGAAATAGTATTTTCTGTAAATAAAATGGGTTGGTAATATCTGCTAAAATAAATAGAAAAAAAAAAAAAAAGTAGGGGACAGAAGATGAAGTGTTGCAATCCTATTTGTAAGGTGACAATTGAGTATAGCCCCAATTGAACCATTCTTTTCCTATCCAATCTGCCACGTGGTGATTTAGCACCGTGGGACCTAGATACCGACATGCTGGCTTTTCTACAGTAATAACTTACCTAGCAGCCGACGTACGGCCACCTTGTGTTGTGATCCAACGGCTTAGAGCTCGCCAGATACGGAACTTTCTATTTATGATTCGGGGTTTATTTGGAAAAAACACATGCTTCCTTGACATTTCTCCGAATTTCGGAAATTCCCTGATATTTTTGGTTCTATTCAAACTTACCCCTATATTTTCGGAAATTACCATGCTCCAAAATCTAGAGGGAANACTAGAGACTAACATCAGTATTTAAAGACTACAATGACATCTGCAACCCAAATACATGGGCAATGTTGACACCAATTAACTTTGGCAAAATTAACTAATGCAGTTGACATTTCCAATTGTTGGGATATGTTGGCACCAATCAAATTGTCACAAGAGTCAAAGGTGGGTTTCCAACAAACCACTAGGCTGTCTGAATCAATTAGAATGCCCCCCCCCNAAAAAAAAAAACCAAAGATTTGTTACAAAATGTTTCCCTTTCCCTCTTGGGTGACTAGAGACTAACATCAGTATTTAAAGACTACAATGACATTTGCAACCCAAATACATGGGCAATGTTGACACCAATTAACTTTGGCAAAATCATAGGAGTTGGTCACCAGTTGTTCCAAAATCATTCACATAGTTAGCATATGCATCCCTTTTTAGACCAAAGCATCTGTCGTGTCCTTGTCAACGTGCCAAGTCATGCCATTCATATCTTGATTTTTTAGGCATGTATGTAATGCAGCACAATCAACCCACACGATTGTGTTTTGTTGTGTCTAACGTACCTATGATATGTTCCTTCCTTCAACTATGTATGAGACTTCCAACAATGATTAGTTTCAATTAATGTAGCAGTTTTATATTTTTCAAAATCTCTGATTTTTGCGTATCATGTCTCACCCATAACAACAATTATTAGAGTCAAACCTTGTTTTGCCTAGCCAACACTAGGTGACATAACGGTTGCGAGCAAGGCATACCTCGAGGAACACCTCCTTTATAATAACATTATGAAGGCATATCAAAGTGGTATTACTAGACATTACCGTGCTCGGGGAGTTATATTGTCTTATTTACGAAATTGTCATTGTCCACACACGCCAATTAGCATTTCCTACTCTCTATCACCAAGTCCAACATGCAACCAAGTCATTTGGGACCCATCTTACAAATTGGAAGTGCTTAGCCAAGCACACCCCCATTTTGGCTTCGACAAGGAGCGTCATTGGACAAGTCATCTGCATGCCTTAGTTACGCCAACAAATTAAGCGACCTATCAATTATCCAATTTAAAAATTGATACGATTCTATCTAATCAATATTTGATCATATTATAAATGCATAAGATCAATCAAATGCAAACGAAAATCATAAAACACGATTATGTCAACTACAATATTGCTTTCACTTTAGTATAAAATAACTTAGTTGGACATTTTGTAAGATCGCACCAAGAGCTTATTAATGGCATGGTATGACAAATCACATGTTTTCTTAGCATACTTATTCTTCACAATTTAAATAAACCTCACAAGGACCTTTGGCTTGGCATGTATGGGACTTTGTGGTCCTATATATGCGACGGATTGTCTCATGTGTTAATCTTAACTTGCCTCACCTATAGAACATCAACCTTATTAAATATTTTTTTTAGGTATTAGATAAGAATTACGAATGCTAACGACCCTCAAAATTTTGTTTAGAGAACCAACCTAAAAGAAAAAAAAATAGAATAATTTTTCAATCGTTAGAGAATTTGCTTTCATTTTTTAATTTGGTAGTGAATATAGACATAACAATTAATTTGAGAAATTAAAAAATAAGTATTGATTTAAAAAATCCCATTTATTCATGAGAACAAACAAATAATAAACAAATTCTCAAAGCTAAATTTATAGTATATATTGCCTTTAAGTTGGTAAATTAATTTAGAGACTTGATTAAAGAAGTAATTTATTTTAATTATTAAATTAGTTGTGAGTTCTAAGTTTCCGTAGAGCCCATCTTCTTCTTTTTATTTTGTTCAACACTTATAAATGTCCCGATCAATTTAAAAATATTTAATTCTTTTTTTAATTTAATTAAAAATAAATCATCTATCCTGAAATTAACGACATCCGTTTTTCTTCGATCCAACGACCACCATCCTATCTTGGTGTATAAATTTAATGGAAATAGTATTTTCTGTAAATAAAATGGGTTGGTAATATCTGCTAAAATAAATAGAAAAAAAAAAAAAAAGTAGGGGACAGAAGATGAAGTGTTGCAATCCTATTTGTAAGGTGACAATTGAGTATAGCCCCAATTGAACCATTCTTTTCCTATCCAATCTGCCACGTGGTGATTTAACACCGTGGGACCTAGATACCGACATGCTGGCTTTGCTACACTAATAACTTACTAGCAGCCGACGTACGGCCACCTTGTGTTGTGATCCAACGGCTTAGAGCTCGCCAGATACGGAACTTTCTATTTATGATTGGGGGTTTATTTGGAAAAAACACATGCTTCCTTGACATCCGAATTTCGGAAATTCCCTGATATTTTTGGTTCTATTCAAACTTACCCCTATATTTTCGGAAATTACCATGCTCCAAAATCTAGAGGGAAAAGGTCAAGTTGATGTGTCCGGCGTGCTTACCTCAATATAAAACAGTTATTTTGTCTACCTATTCTCTTGGCTAATGATCCATAACTAGAGTAACATTTCACCGAATAATTGATAACAAATAGTTACACATGTCTTCAAACTAAATCACATAGTTTTATATTAATTATTGCTACTTTTAGCATAACATCGACAATGAATAAATTTGGCCCTTGATAAACTTATCAAAGATATCACTAATTAAAAAAAGAAGAATTTATATGAAATTTGTGAGATGAATGATTTTACAATATTTACTTATATAATTGTGTTCAACATATCTCTAAAATAAGAGTTATTTTCTATTTTCTTGTTTTATAGATTATCAAAATATATGTAATATGCATAACAATTACTCCCCATTAAGTCAATGCAACCTAGTATCGAAGTTATTCATGACATATTTTTCTTTTTTGCACATTTTTTTTATTTAACAATTAAAAAAATCTCTAAAATAGAGTCATATTGAACTCATAATTATAGAGTATATATTGAATACTTGAAATTACTCGTTAATTATAAGTACCTGTTATATTTTGGGAATCACAAGTATTCGTTAAAATCTGTATATCTGAATTCGTGATTTACTTAAAATTCAACTCCAGCGTGCTAGATTAAGTTGGATGAAAATTTACATGAACTTAGCCTTTTCTTTTAACAAATGGGCATACCCCCTTTTATTGTCAAATTAAGGATTATCATCTTCAATCCTCACATCGTTTAGCAACTTTGGACTATTTTCTATTAAGAGTGGGGTAGACCTATTAATGTGTACTAACATTTTGATAAAAATAAAAATGGAATGTAGGGCTCTTGAAATTTCGGAACTAGAGGGGAAAAAAAAATTATAAGCATCAATGCATGGTTACCATAAACTGGGGTCCTAATGGAATATTGTAAAAAATGAGAGGCCGTATAACAATACGAAGAGAATGTAAGGAGATTCAACTAAGATAAGTACAAAATACTGATCATGAAGAGAGAGAAAATCGAAACAACAGGGAAAGCCGTCGACGACGGTTCGTTGTGTCCAACTAAACCTGCACTCTCTCCCTCTCTCTCTCTCTCTCTCTCTCGCTCTCTCTTCCTATATAAACCCGAACAGACACACTTCCTCAATTTTCTTTCTATTAATCGGTGCTCTCTCTCTCTCTGAAATATCTCTGAGAGATGGCAGATTCGGTGGAGCTCCCGAGTCGACTGGCAATTCTTCCATTCAGAAACAAGGTCTTACTGCCTGGGGCAATCATTCGAATTCGCTGCACCTCACCTAGCAGGTACTTTTCTTCTTACTTTCCCACAGTTTGGGAGCTCTAATAAATTTCTCAGTTTTCAGGGGAAACATGATTTTTTTTGCCATATATTATCTAAGTAATTGTTCCAGTTTTAGTCAATTTCTTGGTAGTATTTACATTTTGTGATAGCTAACCAAGAAATCAAGATCGACTATTCCAATGGTTCTGTGCTACTATAAATCCTTTGAAGTTGTTTTCTCCGCAAACTTTCTAGCCTTGATTCTGATTTGATGTAACGCTCTGTGGTTTGTTGTTTCGATAATGTAGGAAACAAAACCACATGAAAAAAAAAACGAAATTTAGGTCTAAATAAACAGTTATCTAGAAAGTTGATTGAAGATATGTGATAAACCCTTTATCCTGGGAGGTGCCAATAAGAACTTTGTGTTAGGAATTGAGCTATTTCTGTACGTATGGTTCCTGTTTCTATTTGGAAGTTGGGGTTGGTCAACACATCGCGATATATGTAGCCTTTCAATTGTTTGACACCATCGGAATTTCCAATTGTTTGTATGTTCTCAATTTACTAAAAAACAATGTTTTGATTTATGAAGTGTGAAATTGGTGGAGCAAGAATTATGGCAGAGGGAGGAGAAGGGTATGATTGGGATTCTACCAGTTCAAGATTCTGCAGAGACGACTATGGTGGGGTCCATGTTATCTCCAGGTGCCATGACTTACATTTGTTTTTTGGTATTGGTGAGTATGCATTTGATATGTGGATGAAAGGAAATAACATGTTACTGTTTTAGGTGGAGAGACTCACTTGGGAGAGCGAAGCTCAAAAAATCAAGTCAGTATATCAGATCCTCACAAGCTTGATGGAAAAAGTCAGCATGAAGTTATTCACTGGCATACAAGGTATACATTGATAAATAATCCATATTAGTGTGTTATATTATGTTTTAGGGCGGCCAACATGCTGTGTGTTGGATTTTTCCCAGAAGTAGAGTTATTAAGTGTAACAGTGAATATTCTTTGATTTTCAATTTCAGGGGAGTTGCAGCTCGAGCTTTACATCTCTCAAGAGGAGTGGAGAAACCAAGCGGGAGGGTCACTTACATAGTTGTTCTTGAAGGCTTGTGCAGATTTAGTGTTCAGGAGCTTAGTACCAGAGGAACATATTATACTGCTCGAATTTCTCCTCTTGATATGACAAAGGCTGGTAAGTCTTTATTTTCATTTTTACCTCCGAAACATAAATATTATTTTTGTGTAGACATCCTAAGCAGGAGGATTATAGGAAATACCACTTGAGTTAATCTTTCAATTAGAAGCTTGTTCATATAACACTAGATTTGGGTGTGGAATATAGTTATCAAAATTCACTAAACTCCTAAAGAACCACGATCTAGGTACATCGATCCCAAATGGCATGGGTTCGCGATCCATATCACTAAAATGTATGATTCCAAATTGTACATGTAGCACAAATATAAATACATATTTATTAACTAGGTGTATATAGATTTATAATTATATATTATTTTAGATAATAGAAAATTGAACACAAATATAAGCTATAATGGTAACTGATTTTGTGTTTATGGATGTTCTATGCTATATAATAGTGTATAGTGATGAAACGATCTAGATAAGTTTTTTGAAACGAATTGCGACCCAAAATGACCCAAAATAACATACCAGCTAACCTTATCCTATCGGACCCTCATGCCTATGAAAATGTCTTAATCTGTACCTGTATCGCATACTAAAGTGACCCACGATTCAAGTAATATTGGTGTGGAATTTCCAGTTTTTATATTTTGTTGAATTGTTGTTTGGTAACGCTGCATGGTAGACATGGATACTCTGGTATATGTATCGAAGAAGCATATTGGCATATTTTGGAAGAAGGTGTCCATGAGAAATATTGTATCTTTTCTAGGCATTAGTATAGGGTCAAATGAGACGTGCAGCAACTTAGAGGCCGAGATTACTTGATGGATACATCACTCAAAGAGAAGGCATCTTTCTTGGCAAAGCATGAGGGTTAATATTCCTTCATCCTTTGATGGCATATCTATTCTTTTTGAAGAGGAAGTAGAGTTGGTTTTGCTTGGGAATTTCTGGCTAGGTGTTTTGCACTGCATTGTACTTGTCCTAGGATTCTCTGTTTTTCTTTATTTTTTTTTCAGTTTCAGTTTTTAAATTTCACCCTCCTTCATAGTCTGTGTTTTGTTGTAAATTAATTTTTATTTTCCATGAGGTTTCTTCACCCTTCACTGTATTTAATACGTTTTCATTTCTCAATTTATCATTACTTCTCTTTGGACTGAACATTTAAAGAGAGGGTTGCTTTGTTTAATGAAGTAGTTTCTGGAAGTTAGATTTGTTTTTTAGTATAATCACCTAAACTAATAATAAATAAGGTTTTCCTAAATTCATACAGAATGTATACTTTTACACTGCGCTGAATGTTGTTTCCAAGATTATATCTTTGATTCTTTGGTCATTTTGAACTTTTATTTGTGCTTATGTATATTTTATAGTTTGCTCCTTCTAAGTTTATGATGGTATATGTTGCATGTAGAGAAGTAGCTTTAAGTCATGATCTGTCAAGACGCTGAGTTCCTTCCATTTTTCTGATCTTTCTAGAGATGGAGCAAGTGGAGCAAGATCCGGAGTTCACAGCATTGTCTCGTCAATTTAAAGCCACCGCCATGGAGCTTATCTCTGTTCTGGAGCAGGTACTGTTTTTGATTTGGTTTTTCACCCCTTTTCCCTGGATTGAGAATGTTTTGTGCATGATAGTGAGAAAATAGAAATCCCTTCCCCATTATAGCTATGGATATACCCATTTCTACTTGCACTCTACCTTTACATTTCTTTCTCTCTCTGTCTAGCTTTTTCATTACATGGATTGTGAATGATTTTGCAATGTAATCTTGAGGAATGGTTTGCCATGGAAACTAATACTAGCTAAACTTAATCGGTCAACCTTCCTGTTGATGAGGATGAAACTGATGTTAGCCAGGTTCAGGCCATTATTTCAAAGTACAGTACCTGGATAGCAAAGTTTACCACAAAGGTACTTACCGGGAAAAAAAAAAGTTTACCAGAAAGGTAAATTAATGTGTCAATGCCTTAAGTTTAAGAAAGTGCTATCTCTGTCTCACGATTTTTTCTTCAAGCATACAGCTGTGCTTCTGTTCCAAAATTCTTTTGTTTGTGTTTCCAATCTTTGCATTTTTGTTCCTGATATTATCATCGGTAGGCAATATCTGTCGAGGTATTTTCATTTGTGGGGGTTGTATATTGGAAGATGGCCCTATAATATGGCATGATATTCCAACCTCTTGTAGGATATGAGTCTTACACAATGACGACTATGACATGGTAACACGACCTTGTGCCTATTCTTCTGATTACTTTGAAATTGTTGGAACTAGTTTTCTGTGTGGTTTTTGAGTGTCTTTCTAATCAGTGTCCCTTTTTTTTCCTGTTTGCAGAAACAAAAAACTGGAGGTAGGACAAAGGTTCTTCTGGAGACAGTTCCTGTGCACAAACTGGCAGATATTTTTGTCGCTAGCTTTGAAATTAGCTTTGAAGAGCAGCTATCTATGTTGGATTCAGTTGATGTGAAATTAAGGCTTTCAAAAGCTACTGAACTAGTTGATAGGCATTTACAGGTGACCTATGGACAAGTGATGGATGTGTACATTTACATTTGTTTATTCTGTATTTTAAGGACTCATGGGCCATGCTCTTTTTTTTGACAGTCAATTCGGGTAGCAGAGAAGATTACACAGAAGGTTGAGGGACAGTTGTCGAAGTCACAGAAAGAATTTCTACTTCGTCAGCAGGTTTGCTTTCTCACAATCAACCAGAGTACTTTCTCCAGGAATATTGAGAATGTGTATTAGGTGTGCAATGGCTTTGGGGTGTTATGGGGAAGAAGATTAAGAGAACTCTTTGAGGTGCAGACCTACCAGCTCATGTAGTTTTATATTCAGGATTCCACCTAGAAGTGCAAGATGCATGCAAAGTATGATTCTCGTGTCTTTCTCTAAGGTTGGAGGTGCATTACGAAAATAGTGGATTGCTCTTACAATATTGAAACCTTAGAAGTTGATTATTCCTTTCTGTTCCCTTCATACATTGTCTGGGCATTTAAAGAGTTTTCTCAGTAAAATATTGAGTTTTGAGGCCATTTTCTTGCAGTGTGGTAGCTGTGATCTCTTTGTGACATTTTGGAGAGAACGTTCAACGAGTAATGAACACATTGCAACATCCTGTTTCATTTTTCTTTTAATTTGAGAAAATGTTTCAAGAATTGGTTGCATTTTTAAGTGATATATTTGCAAGTAATGTAAGTTGGAACCCCTTGGCTTAAGCAAGAAATCATTGGCATATACATGTTAATGTCTTCACTTTTAACTGTATACCACTCAACGGGGGTCTTGTATGTTTCTGTAATAACATTTGGGTCATTCCTTCTATTAGTGAGCATTAATACTCTCAGGTTCCTTGCTAGCTTATTTGCTCCATTTTTTCCCTCAATTTCATGTGCAATGTGGTTTTTTCCTCTGAACCTTTTATTTACATGCTCAGATGGCTTCCCAATCAGGTAGTTGGCTCCTGAAAGAACTGTTTATTAATCTCTGTATATGTGGCATAAACTGAGATCATCTGTCTTATTTGTCTACTACTTTTTTTTTAATATTCTCCAGATGAGGGCTATAAAAGAGGAGCTCGGCGACAATGATGATGATGAGGATGATTTGGCTGCCCTGGAAAGGAAGATGCAAAGTGCAGGAATGCCTCCAGATATTTGGAAGCATGCACAGAGGGAACTGAGGTATGATTTGATGCACACACAATAGCGAAGTTGACAATGTTTCAAGGACCATGTGAATAATGGCTCTCAGCACGGTAAATAAAGTTAGTGATTACACTATATATAGATGTTGTAACATTTGACAATTATACAGAAATAGGGATGATTTTTGTATGTGGGTTTGAGTGTTACATCCTCATCTTTGACCTGGAATTGGGGTGTTGGATATGGCAATGCCCCAAGTTACACATTAATTTGCTTGTGAATTTAATATGTTCAACAAAAAACACCGATTATTGAATGAGCTGTAATGCAGAATAACTTGGGAAAGCATACTTATACAAGTTCTCTGACTAAAAGACAAACAAAGGCCTTGTTGCTGCACAGTAGCAAAATCATGGCATCTATAGTATCAAAACGTTTACTCTCCATTTGTGAATGAAAATAGATTTTCATAACTTTTTGTTGCTGCACATTAGTAAAAGGACGCCACACATGGATATAGTGTCAAGAAGCCTACTGCTACCTAATTGTAAATGGAAAGACATGCTATTCGTATCCTTTATCACCTTTTGTTTGGGGGTAGGGTGGGTTTTTTTTTTTGTTGGGGGGGGGGG